GTGCACTCCCTTTTGTGCAGCAAGCTGTTGCAGAGGCCATGCTTGGCTCCATGGAAGATTTAGTGGAGTCCAGTATAAGCTCCAACTTGCAGGAGATAGGCGCTTGCGTCCAGAACCTGGCAATGTCAGCGCTCACTGAGCAAGCCCCAGCGCCAGAAGTGGGTGTCGCTAATAATGGTCAAGCTGCTGGAAGACACCCCCAACAGACTGATCTGGCGGCTGAACATGCTATGGCTGGCTGATGGCAATCCTGGCCGAACTTAGCAGAAGCAGAGAAGTGGCTGCGGACCTTCGCAAAGTCTGCCCCATCGGATTTGCAGGCTGACATTCTGCGATTCCTGCACAGCTGCTGAAGTGTGCTTGCAAGAGCCACTGCGCCAATGCGCGTGAAAGAGGACCAAGCACTTGCAACCGTGAACATCATGTCATTGTCCCACCATCATCATCATCACGATCACCATCACAACCATGATCACCGCCGTCCTGATTTTGATCCTCGTCCTCCTCAGCAACTTGCGGCTCAAGCCTGGGGCGGCGCGTTTGCCAGCTTGGCAAGATTGATGGCCAGTGTCTCGGGATGAGCCATCGCCCTCAACAGCATTGTCGCTTAATTTAGTATGATGTGTTGATTTGCGCACGGTTCCTCTAGCTCTAGATCGTGCTTTTCGGAGGCCCAGAGGGGTTGCTGGTTTAGGGCTGCAATATAAATGAAATTCCACAAGCTACAACCTCCCAATTCTTTAAGCGCTAGAGCCCTGTATAGACACATTTGGGTCATGATACGAATAACCCTATCAAGTTGTAAGGTCCCTAAACCCTGAGCCCAAGCCCCTCTCATGCGAGGGAAGTCTTAGTATGCGCTTTATTGCACATCCAAAGGGATGGGCCCAGACTGCTGCGGCGAGAAAGGTCCAATGCACTGTAAAGAAACCAAAACCTTAAACCCTAAACCTTAAGCCTTAAACCTGAAGCACTAACCTGAGCCCTAAACCCTGCCCTAAATCCATGAAGACTTACGGGCAACGCTGGAGGCGTCAGCCGCCTCCGCGCAACGAGGCTCTGGCGGAACTGGGCGAGGCATCTCTAAGGGCCCAGGAACATGAATCAGGTTTGTGTTATAGGGTGTGAAAGGGTTTTATGAATGAGTTGTAAGGGTTTCGAATCTCGACCGTATTTATAGCTTGTGTAAACCACGCCGTGTCCTTCAGCCGGGCTTTGAACGACACTCCGAGCAGCGGGGCCAGGTTCGAGCTGCTTTAAGAGAAAAGAAGAAGGCTCGGGGCCTGCCCTTCACAGTTCAGGGCAGGACATGGCCAACCTTTATAGAGTTCACTTTGGCATCAGTCGGCCCGGCCCCCAAGAATCCCAGCCCTGGACCTCCAGACCAAACATTAGCCGGGGCCTTGAGAGTGGGGTGGAGGAGCTCTCCTCGGTGCGGACGGCCGCGGATCAGCTGCAGAGGCAGGCGAAGGCGGCACCGTGGCACGCACGCCAGTGCGAAGGAATTTCACCTTGCCTTTGTAGAGGAACATATACATCGACAGTTGGGAAAAAGGTAGAGTATGTTTCGGAGGACTTTGTACGCTGTTGACTGGTTCAGTTCTGGTTTGCGCAGTCGACCCTACAATCTGATTGTCAGGCGTTCCAAAACTTGTACATAACGCCCGTCTGCTTGACTTGAACAGTCAGTCTTTCAGCTAGAGACAGATCTCTTTGGGGCGCTTTGCATGGTCTGGGCCTCTGGGCAGCCCTGACGCGAGACAGGATTTGACCGACCTTATGCTGAAGGACATCACTGCATGGGTCGTATCTTCATTTAGGATGTTAGGCATGTTCCAATACTTTTATTCAAAAACTACGAGAGGTCTTGCAACGCGCGTGGTTTTGGGCCTAGAAGAAGTTGTTTTTCAACACGTGCGTATGACAACGGCACATGGGTGGTGCCATTTTGTTTCACAAGTCAGCAGCTTGGTCTTTCAAGCACTTGTTCGCACAGAAAAGTAGGCTTTGTCCAAAATGCAAGACTTTGAGGCTGCTGCGCCGTCTTGTGTGTCGAAACATCGCACGCAGCAGATTGGGTTCAGAGCAACAAGTTGTTTTTGCTTGGTTGAAATTCCGCGTCGTAGGTGCCCGTCCACCCTGCGCAACAAATTGTCCTTAAACAGCCAAGGATTTGCGGTTGTTCGGCGTGTTTCTGAAATCATTCGGCGTTGCGCGCAACAAGAAAACATCAGTCAGAATGCAGCAACCACAGGCACGCAGACGCCAGATGATGTGTTTGTTTTGCATGCGAGTTTTCTCCTCCATTGGGCCAACGGTTTTTGGGGACTGTGGGGCCTTGCGGCAGTTGGGGCAGGCCAGGAGCTGAATTTTTTGAGGTATTTGAAGGAACAAACATGTCGTGACCCATCATGAACAACGTGACCATCGTGGCGACAAAGCAGATTGCGTAGGCTTGAAGGAACTAGTGACCAGTGGGCAGAAAAGTAAAGCTTTACAACAGCTTGAAAGATATATTTGAGCCATCGGTTAGGGGCTAATGCCTAGTGCCTGGTGATGGCGACTAGAGGTAAAGGAGTGGACATGGGTGGGTTGGGCTGACGTCCACGCTTCGTTGGCAGATGTTTACCTTCTTCAGAGTGCCAAATCATGCCGGAGGAATATTCTCTTTTTTCTGCAACCTGATAAAATTCTGAGGCCATCACACTTGATTATTGTTGACAGTCTCAGTCTCAGACATGCAGTGTTTTGTGATGATGTTGTTGCGTCAGCGCATGGTGACGAATGTCAGGTTTCAGGGTAGTGCCAAAGCCAAAGGTTGCAGCCCGTTGTCATCGCAGCCCTTCAGATGAAGCCCCCTCACATCCAACAAGCTCCGGCAACTCCGGCAGCATATCATCCTTTCAGCAGTGCAGCTAGGATGCGCCCCATCTTTGTTATTACGTTTGTGCATCGTGAGCTGCAGCCAAAGTGAGTGAACACGAACAGTCTGACATATGAGAGCAAGCCAGGATGAGGACACACGCAAAACAGTAGCAATAAACCCAAAACAGTGATTGCCTTGTTGAGAGAGTCTTCTGCCAGGATCTATTCAAGGGCGACCCGCTGGCGCTGCATGACTTGTCCAAGAGAAGGGAAATTCTGCGCCAGATCTCAAAACATCTGGCCTCTAACGCTAGGCCCCTCCAGGGGTGTAATCAATCTGGCTCTTGAGGCTCGGCCCCTCCAGGGGTCAAAGCATCTAGTTTGTAAGGCTGGGCCCCTCCAAGGGTCAAAACATCCGGCTTGTAACGCTGGGCCCCTCCAGGGATCAAAGCATCTGGCTTCTGAGGCTGGGAATTCCAGGGGTCAAACACCTAGCTTGTAAGGATGAGCTCTCCAAGGGTCAAGACATCTAGCTTGTAAGGCTGGCCTCTGCTTCTACGGCTGGGCCCCTCCAGGGGTAAAAACATCTGGGTTGTAAGGCTGCGCCTCGTCAAAACATCTAGCTTGTAATGCTGGGCCCCTCCAGGCGTCAAAACATCTGGCTTGTACTGTGCCCTTCCAGGGGGTCAAAACATCTGGCTTCTAAGGCTGGGCCCCTCCAAGGGTCAAAAGTCTTCAGAGGCTGGGCCCCTCCAGGGGTCAAAACATCTGGTTTGTAAGCCAGGCATCAAAACATCTGGCTTGTAAGGCTGGGCCCTTCCAGGGGTCAAAACATCTGGCTTGTAAGACTGGGAATTACAGGGGTCAGAACATCTGGTTTGTAAGGCTGAGCCCCTCCAAGGGTGAAAACATCTGGCTTCTAAGGCTGGGCCCGCTGAGGGGTCAAAATCTTAAGGCTGGGTCCCTTGAGGGGTCTACAGTATCTGGTTCTTACGGCTGGGTCCCTTGAGGGGTCAAAAGTATGTGCCACTGAAGGCCAGCTTTGAGGGGTCAAAACATCTGGTTTGTGAAGCTGGGCCGTTTTAGGGGTCAAAACATCTAACTTGAAGGCTGGGCCCCTGTAAGGGTAAAAACATGTGGCTTGTAAGCTGGGCCCCTCCAGGGGTGAAATCAATTTGGTTCTTAAGGCTGGGCCCCTCGAAGGGTCAAAAGGTTTGGTTTCCAAGGCTGGGCGCCTCCAGAGGTCAAAACATCGGCTTGTAATGCTGGGCCCCTCCAGGGGTCAAAACATCTAGCTTGTAAGGCTGGCCCCTCTGCTTCTAAAGCTGGGCCCTGCAAGGGGTCAAAACATCTAGGTCGGCGCTCCAGAAAAGATTACTCTTGTTTACATTCAGGATGGTCGGAATTCCTCATCCCCTGCGGGTGTCTTCCTGGCCTTTGCGCGCTCTACTGGAGGCTCGTGTTCTTTCAGGACTGGTTGCGGGCCAGCGGAAGGTTTTGGAGTGTCGGAGATTGCTCGGACAGTGGGAACATGATTGCGTATTGTCGGTTCATTATTCTGTCGCTCTTTTTCGTCCCCTGCAAGTGCGATCTCTGGAACGTTCAGTTTGGCGACGTGCGACCCGGGATGGGGAGTGGCGGCAGACTGGCCGGAAATTCTCATGGGGACTGGTTTGGGGTGCTCTTCCACACACACCCACACACACACACACATGCGCGCGCGCGCACATACACACACACACGCTCGCCGATGTTTGCGCAAGTACTGAATATAGGTATATAAATATATGTATATTTTCAAATACTCAGTATGGCAATAAAGCATATGCGAAATGTACGCGTGATCATATACATATACATATACATATACATATACACCAGCTGCAGCTGATGCCGACTTCGCGCTCGCGCGATGTGCTCGTCGTTTCGCCGCGGAGTGCGGTCTCAAGAGTTTGCATTCTTTTATACATGTCTTCTTATGTCGCCGGGCGATGGTATCCTAATATCATCTCACCTAGATTAGGGTTAAACGAGACATGTGGGGTTCTCCGGTCCTTTAATTCATTTTTTCCCTCGCTAACCTCCCCAGTAAGTGTATGTTGGCCAGGGAGAGTGCTTCTGACATCTTGGACAAGATGCAAGCAGAGCAGACCAGGCCAGAGGTTCAGGGAACAGCTGTTTGCAAAGAGTAATAATCGTAATAATCGAGTCATACTAAGGTTTAGGGTTAAGGGGCAATAATATAACAATAGTAGTTCTGCTATTTTCTAAATAGTAGTCGTAATCGCACTAAAATTAACTGTAACAATACAAGTAGTATTCGTAATAATCGTAGAGCATCATATCTTCTGCAGGAAAATGGAGGAGTTCCGCACGCACGTGACTGAAAACATGGCAAAGCAGTTTGCTGATATTCAGGACCGCCACCGGTCTTCTGGGTTGCTGTTATAAGGAACTTAAAGTATGTTATTATAATGAGGATATACAGGGTGTGTAGGGTTTAGGGTTCCTAGAAGAAGGAAACCCCATTATTTATTACACCCACATTATGGGAACCTATTTTGAGTCCCTTAACAGCAACCCAGTCTTGCATCAACAGGGCGCCATTGCTTCGCGCATCTTTTCAAAAACTCAGGAAGAGTCTCAGCAGCAGATCGCAGGCTCGGGCTTGGGGCATCTATCTACCGAGCCATACATGATAGTTCCAGAGCCGCAATACAGGCCCCAACATATGGTTATCCTTATATACAAATATTTGTGTATTTTTTCATCCTGATATATAGAGGCCACCAAAAAGGTCCCCCCACAATTTTGGGCCCACATGCGTGATTCAAGCTCTGAGGCCTCAAGCAAGTCATCGAGGAGAAGGCTAAGGAAGGCGTCTTGCTCCTTGAGCAGCAGCACTCCGAGAGCAGAGAGGCCCACAAGGGGGGTTCCCTGGGCAAGTCGAGGATCTGCCATGATCTTCCTAACTCCTGGGCATATAATCATAACTGTTGATAATGGTAAACATTAGCAATCATAGCAATAATTGTAGGAGTACTCGGAATACTAGTAACAATAGCACTACTGGCATCCTTGAGACCAACAAGAATACGTGAGCGTCACAAATCATAGTAATCTTCAAGAACAGAGCCTTCGGCGGGTCTCAGCACAGGCTCGATGCAGCGTGTTGGAGGCGGGGTCATGCTCGTGGGCCAGCTTCTGGGTCTTTTGCAGAGCGCCGCAGGCTGAGATCCAGTCAGCCGTCATGGCCTGAGCCAACAGAAGAGGACCCCTCTCATGCAGCTCTCTTAACGCCTGTCAGGAAAGCACCTGCAAAGCAGCGCAGGAGGACCCTGATGGCTTTCTGCTGCTCAGATGGCTAGGGAAGCTTCCAGATTCCCGTCTTGTTAGACCTGCTAAACTCTCTGCAAACCCTAGACCCTAAACCTTCGCGGACCTCCCACTGTGTTGCCTACGTCAGGCAGAGCAAGCTCTAATTGCGGTTTCAGTCGCAGGGGCTGAGGAAGTTGTGCTTCTCCACCTTTCCGGCAGTACTGCTTAATGGTTCTAAGTAGGGAATGATGGTATTTTCCATATTCTCTACTAAGAAATACGGGAATTATAATCCCTACAGTATATAGCATATTCCCTACCACGCCCTTTTTAGCGTGATGTTCAGATAAAACAGGGTTGTTGGATGTCTAGGAAACTATTGCATTAAGGTGAAGATTTCACTCTTTGTTAAAATGTGTTTCGGTTTCTGAGAGTGAGCGTGTTTAGCCGGAGTCCGCAGGCCGCAACCTGTAGAGACACAAAAACGCTGTAAATACAAGTGTTTTGGGCATGGACGCAAGATGAATGACGTTCTTATCCCCTCCCTCCCCCATCCCACCCCACCCCGCCCACCCCCCAGCCGAACAACATTTGAACAAAACATTCAAAAGGCACAACAACCTGCAAAAACACAGGGCGACCTGCGCGCCCGCCACCAACTACCTAAAGATGGTATATGTCCCTATATAGACCCTCAACCCTAAATCCTAAACCCTTAATTCCATTTTGTCGTCTTCGCAAGGAGGCGGCAGATTTGCGAGTCAGGCTCGCTGCAGCCCAGCAGAAGGCCTGAGACCTTAGTTGTTTAGGGTTAATAGGATTTAGGAATAGGATTTAGGGTTATAAGAGTTCAGGGTTGATAGGATTTAGGATCTACAAAGGGACTAATGATAGACGAATACTTTAATGTTAATAACGGAAAAGAAATAAGAAAATGGATGCTACTATTTAGGGTTTAGAGGGTTTAGATGCGTAGGGACTATATATAATGTTAGAAATGGCAATGAAAATGGAAACCCTTAACCTTAAACTCCTATTCTAGGGTCAAGACGTTTTTCTTAAACCCTGCCCCCCCCCTTTCTTACAAGGGTGGAGACGCCTTCCCTAAGCCCCAAACCCCCTCTCCAGGGCTCCGATGGCTTTCCTAAGCCCTAAACCCTGAATCCTCTTTGGCCGTCCTTCAGGCTGACACCTTGCAGGAGATGTTGGGAGCTGGTGTGTTTGTTTCTGGCTTGCTGTTAAGGAGCTTAAAGTAGGTTACTATAGTAAGGGTACATGGGGTATGTGGGGTTTTAGGGTTACTATAACAAGGAAATCCTAATCTATTTTCTATATACTCATGTTTTTGGGTAACTTAATATAAGTTCCTTAACAGCAACCCAGGTTTTTGTCGTCGCTTTGCAAGAGCTGGTGCTTTGTGCTATAGGAGCTCCAGTCTGACATTGCGAAGCAACGCTCAGATCTGGATGTGGAGAAGCAAGAGCTCAAACAGCAGGCTAGGGCAAGCTGTAATCGGTTTAAGGTTTAGGGATCCCAAATAGCCCAGTGTAAAACCCTAAGAATGGAGAATCAAATGGAACAGCACATGGAGATTGAAATGCAAACTAGGGGTTTAAGTGGATGTATAGGGATCCAAACTAGCCCGATGTAGGTAATGTTTACAGACTTTAGGGCCCAATGTAGGCATTATGTACAGACATGGAGCCCCAGGGCATGGTAAGCTGTAAGCCAGTACGTTTTTTCTTTTTTGTAGCCCTCTACATGTTTGATAGCCTGTGACATGGCCTTGCGTGGGTCCTAAACTCTTGCCAAGAGTAGTGGTGCTGCCGCGACTGCTGCTACTCCTCCTATACTCCTACCACTGGTCCTGCTGCTCCTGCTACTGCTGCTGAGCCCACTAAGAGCAGGAGTGGGTGGAAGAGAGCCTCGCCAGTTGTTTTTGGAGAGCCGTCACAAGACAGAACGCACATGCAATGATCGCTTCCACTTCTGAACCCACACCACGTCTGAAAAGATTGGAGGAGGTGGAGAACAGACGAGGACGAAAGAGCATAGCTACGCTCTGGCGGAACAAACAACCTTTTGAGGTGCTGAGGGTCGGAAGAACACACTGCCGCAAGGGCTGAAATTACAAAGGCTGAGGAGGTTTCAATGTAAAGGGGCTAGCAGAGAACAATCGCCATGATCGCTCTGCGTCTCCTTCAGAAACGGCAACGCGAGCACGCCAGGGCAAGCGAGACAGACTGGAAGGACGAACGGGTATGCAAAAATGACAAATGGAGCATCCATGACAGCTATGTTGCTGGGGATGATTTTTCTTTGATGCTGTTGGCGTGAGCAATTCTTAGCCCGGAGCCAGCCCGGCAGTTTGCACAAGGCCGAGGAGCAAGGGCAAAGACTGGCTCAGCTCGAAAGGGAGATGGATCGCTTCCGCGTGGAGGCTGGCTTTTCGGGGTCTCCGTATTAAGGATTATAGTGTGCTGTTCTATCCAAGGTCTGCGCAGTCATTGCTAGTCCTGAATGGATTGATTCTTCTCATGTTGCCGTCTCGCCACCGTGGCAAGGCCGATGTGCGCAGAGAGGAGTTGCACCATGATTTGTTGCCACAAATTGATTTCAACAAATCAGCACGAGCCTGCAGGAGAAGGAGCGCCTGGAGGTCGTGCGCAGCTGTGTGAAGTAGAACATTGCTGAATCATAAGAATAACAATAATGATAAATGTTTTACTAAGAAATAACAATAGTAATAGTAATACTAATAAATAGTAATAATAATGAAATGGTAACCATAGTAATAATAATACTATTAGTGATAATAGTAACCATAGCTTCGCCTCCTTTGCCTTCAGTGACGGTCACGGGGTTCTGGGCAGGCTGAGCGGGCAGCAGATGCCGCCGCGGCCGCAGAGGAGAGAGGAGCCTGGCAGAGCCGAGAGGCTGGGGAAGCAACATGAGCCATAGTCTAAGTTCCTTAAAGGGTGCTTCTATAAGATTCTATAACGGATTCTATGGGGGACTACTATAGGGGTTAGTAAGGGGGATACGAGGAGTTTAGATGATGGCCTGAAGAGGGGCCTGCCCATGCTTTCCTACGATGCGGACCCCTGAAGTAAGTATGGGAGCATGAGGGGTGGGCTGGGCTCACATGTTTTCTTCCTTCTTATTTGATGTGGGAGGGAGTGGCCCGATATTGTTTGTCGCTGCGCGGTGTGAGGGTTTCAAGCAGTCATACCAGCAATCATTACGATTGGAATCGTAGTTGTGGGCAGACAGCAGGTCTTGAGGGTTTTTGTAGGTTCTTGTCATAGCAGTGTGGTAGTTTTTCAAAACAAGGCTGTAGACCCAACATGCTACAAGCCCTGTCATGGGAACCCCCAAGAACAAGTACCCCTAATTTTGGAGAACCCCAAACCCTGTATATCCCTATATAATAGCCTATATACCCCTAACTAAACTCTATAACGCCTTTGCAAATTCTAGCCCTGACCCAATATTTCAGTAACATGAGCAGCGCACGAACAGAGTGTGATGATGCAGGCAGAGCTATTGGCCACAATCCAGGCCCTAAGGCAAGGTGCTGCCTGCTCCGGACATAAGCAGCGATGTGATGTTTACCTATATGTTTATGCATGTAACCCCTATATAACCCTATACACTCCTTTATATACTGGGCTTATGATTACCGTGAAAGGCCCTATACACCCTATGACCCGTTGGGTTATGCTTACTCTGAACCCAGGACCGAGTGTGGGCCCCAGCATGTGATCCTGAGGGGCTGGAAATGGATGTAGCAGACTGTACTGAGGCTCGAGCTTGAGGAGAAGTCTGTGAATGATCTTGGCCACAAGGCCGAAGCCTGGTGATATCACTGACTCTTCGTCTTTCTGGGGGGTAGCAGGGAATAAGGGAATATAATATACATAAGGGAAGTCATATAAAGAAGGGAACATACTATGCAGGGGTTAAGTTGGGATTGCATTCCCTTGTTCCTCACTAAGCTCCTGGAGTTTAGGGTTCAGGGCTAGCATGCAGCCTTTGCTATGTCACTCTCTTGCGAACTCTTGGACTTTCGTTGCATTCGCCTATTGGCTTCTTTCCATGTGCGACAGTTTGGAGAGGATCGCGAGTGCCGCAACGAGATCGCAACCTTGGAGGGTCGCCTTGCCGAACTCGAGGTAGGGTATGTTATATTCTATTATAGGATATCGTATTATTTTATATTCTATTCTATTATAGAATACCATATTATTTTGTGTTCTATTCTATTATATACTGTGCATTCTGTCACCTTGAAGTTTATTATTCCTTAGTAGATTATGTCCCTCCCTAGTTCAATGGGTGATTGACCAGCTGGTGAGTTCAAACAAATATGTGGGATACCTTCCTGACGCGATTATGCCTGAGAGCCTGAGTAAAGTGACGGGGTCCAAAGTGCTGCTAGGCAAGCGTGGAGAAGGTTCAGCAAGACAGGCAGCTGGTCGAGGACGGTTGGTCGGGAAGCGCGGTATTCAAGTCTCCATTCTCTTCTCCATGCATGGTGGGAAAGAATTAGCTGTGCCTGGCAAGGATCAGAAGGCACGATCTTCTGCGCTGTTTTATATCCCTTATATGGAGGTTTCCCCAAATCAGGGGTACTATTTTGGGGTTCCTCTAATAAACGGATTAATTATAGTATATTAGGGTATACAAGGAGCATCCTGTGCCCTATCGGAGGCATACCTGGATTTGGACATCCAGAGCTTCCGGGAAATGCAGGCACCAGAATGTAGCAAGGCTATTTAAAGGCTCAACCCTCAGGATTACATTTTCGGATCCCTGTGACGACAAAGATGACAGAGTCTGATCCTCCCACTGTTTAGGGTTTATAGGGTTTGGATTGTGATGGTGGGAGGCAAGGGCTGGCGACGAAAACGCCTATGGAGTCATTTGACCACCCGCGACATCCATACCCTGACATACTTGCATACCCTTCGTTGAACTAGATAGAGGCTTCTTGGCTGCCGGCCACGTGCAAATCTACATCCGGAATCCCAGGGATACATACATGAAACATTGCCAGGGTATATGGGGGTCCCTTCTTTACATTCTGCGCGGAGGCCAACCTCCAAACAGAGACGGAAAGCCACGTGGACATCCTGGAGGCCGAGTTGGCGGTCTCCAAGAAAAAGCGGAGGGAACTCCAGGCGCGAAGTCACCAAAGTTCAAGTGAGCCCCTACCTGTACCCTAGGGATCCAAATCGCCCGATGTAGGTAATATTTTGCGGACTTCAGGGCCCAACAATGTAGGTACTACTCATAGACTCACGTTTTCCACAGTTCAGCCCCCACCTGCAAGTGTCGAGCAGGCGATGCTGGACGAGGCCCTGATTCAGTGACCGCTCCCGGACGGCGCATATCATGTGATGAGCAATCCTGTGCAGATGTACACCTTCCTCGCCGCGGACAGCAAGCAACGGCGGTCACGCCGACAAAGCAAGGCATGGGCCGTGGGCGCTGCAATTCCGAGTGAAGTTAGGCCTTAATCAGTTGTTTGCCATGTGGTGACTACAGTATGCAGAAATGTTTCAAGTTCCATCAAAGAGTTTAGCACAGACAACGTGGTCTACATCATGCCAGCAGCAAGACTGTCTTCGTATACAATCCAGTTGTTTTTCAATAGTGCGTTCTGGTGCTTAGGGATGCATCTGCAGGTTTCGCGCTGATGCAGATGCAGTGGCCTTGCCGTGTCACCTCCTGGCCCAAAAGGCTACAATTTTCTCTTACATTTTCTCTGCTTGTGGGAGGAGC